GTTTTCTTAAGTTTTCGTGGGTACTTACATGTATGGCATTCAGCTTTATTCGGGTATTTTCCTACGTCATTGTAGTTGTGCTTTTAAAGTTGTAGCAACGTTTCGGCAGAATTTCATCTGCCATCATCAGGCTTCTGTATTGTGTTCGTCTTCCCAGAAGAAACAATAGGACAAGGACGGTAAGCACGTTGGTGTGCTTATGCACACCCCCCACAGATCTCTTAGGAAAGAGGTGAGGTCAATAGTAGAAAGTCTAAGGTTAAAGTTTTGAGGGTTTGGGGAAGAAATCACAGTCAGGTAGAGTATTCCAGACATTGATCACTCTGTTGCTGAAGTCGTATTTCCTGCAGTTGAGTTTGGTGCGATTAACCTTGAGTTTGTATCTATTGTTTGCTCTTGTATTGTTATGGCTGAAGCTGAAGTATTGATTGGCAGGTAGGGCATTGCAATGTATGATTTTATATACTATACTTAGATCGGACCGAAGGTGGCATAGTTCTAGGTTTTCTAGGTCTAGAATTTAAAGTCTGGTGGCATAAGGTATTCTGCAACGAGTAGAGGAGTAGAGAACTCTTCTTGTGAAATATTTCTGGACTTTCTCAACAGTGTTAATATCAGATACGTAATGTGGGTTCCAGACTGATGAGCTGTATTCGAGTATTGGTCTAGCAAATGTTTTGTATGCTCTAGTTAGTAGTGTAATATTACCAGAGAAAAAGCTATGTAAGATTGGGTTAACAACTCTTAATGCCTTTTTGGCTATGTAGTTACAGTGGGCTCTAGCACTTAGATCATTAGAGATGAGTACTCAAAGGTCCCTGACAGAGTTTGAATCATCAACAAGGTCTTGACTATTCAGCCTATATTTTATTTTCTGATTTTGGGGGGCCAATATGTAAGACAGAGCATTTATTTGTTGAGATTTGAAGTTGCCATTTGTTTGACCATTCTGATACATAGTTGAGGTCTTTTTGAAGAGTAGCAGTATTGTCGGTGGTGTTGAATAGCTCTACATTGTCAGTGAAGAGGACACAGTTGCTCTTAATATAATCACAGAGGTCATTTATGTAGAGTATGAAGAGAACACTGTCCTAGAACACTGCCTTGGGGGACACCAATGTTGACAGGTACAGAATTTGATAGGATGTTCCCAATTTTGACTGTTTGTTGTCTGTTTGACAGGAATGCTTCTATCCAGTTATGCAGGTGTCCAGAGATACCATAAGATTTTCGTTTTAGGAGTAGTTTGTCGTGTACCACTGAATCAAAGGCTTTACAGAAGTCTATGTAGATTGCGTCTATTGCTTTGCCCTGATTGAGTTGTGTAGTCCATATGTTTTTGCAACGTAACAGATGCAGATTGCAGGATAGTTTTTTTCTGAAACCAAATTGTTTATTAGAGAGTAGGTTGTTTGTTTCTAAGTGGAGGATGATGGATTGGTTAATAATTGATTCCATGACTTTACAGGTGACACACATAAAGAGATTGGTCTGTAATTTTCAACTAGGCTGGGGTCTCCCTTTTTGAAGATGTGGGTGACTGTGGCTTGTGACCATAGTTTTGGCAAGGAGCTGGTCCTGAAAGATTTTTCAAAGATTATGCTTAGAGGTTCGGCTAGGGCAATGGATAGCTTTTTTAAGAAGTAGGCACATATTCTGTCTGGTCCAATAGATAGAGATGGTCTTAGATTGCACAGTGCTTTTTCAGCACTGTCTTCTGTAAAATCGATATGTATTAGATCATTGTAGTTGTCTGTGGTTCAACTAGGAAATACTGGTCATGATCCTGCAGGCTTCCTTGGCGATATCATTGCTCTGAATCAGAACTAGTCAGCCAGGAACTGCCACCATGAACTTCCATTTGTTCAAAGACTGCCTCTGACTCAGGAGCATTATGAGAATTAAAATAGTGGCTCCCAAGTGGTGGCCTAAACAAGGTGCTTTGTAGCTACCTGAGATTGCCATATGACAATGGGAACATCGAGGGAATTTGTCTTTTGCTAGCTTTTTGGATTCAGAAATATTTGTATCATTTGTATTTACTGGCCTCTATTGTGAGCAAAGAAGGATGGAGCTGGCTTCCACAAGTATTGTGGTTCACCGGCAGCCTGTGCAGACAGCAGCAGAATCGGACAGTGGGAAAGAACGGGAACCAGTCCGGGAGTCTGGAGAGGACTCTGACGAGGGTCCTGCATCTGATGCAGAGATGGGGTCAGGACCATCTGGGAGTTGTGTGCTGCCTCTAGAGCCTCCAGAATCTGGCAGCGGCGAGGCTGAGGAACAAGGGGAGCCTGTTCCCAGTGTACATGTGCACAGAGCTGCTAGAAGGCAAGAGCAGCTGAGACAAAAGGGGCAACTTGGGAGTAAGGCTTGGAAGTGATTGCCCTTTGCCTAAGGTAGAAAGCAAAGTTGTTTGTTCTGTTCAGATTAATCCTTGAAGCTCTGTGTGGACTTTGTACTTCAGCTGGCTTTTTACAATTCATTTGGCACTCTAGTTGTCGGCAGCAATTCAAAGGAAAGAAAGGTGGGTGCTTATCTCAAAGGGACTGTTTGGGACTTATTACCAGCTGGGAATGAACATCATTCCCAGTGTTGAAATAAAACAAGAGTTGTTTTAACTAAGCATGTGCTTAATTACGGTCTCGGGAAACTTTGGTCAACAATAATCCTCTCTTTTTCTCATTGCAGGGAGCCATGCTTCCAAAGCCACGCTTCTTGCAGAAAACCATCCAAGAGCTGGGCATTGGTACTTTTCGTGACATTGCTGTAGTGTTAGACTCCGCTCCTGTCTACACAGCTTTGGAGATTTTTGTGGACCGCAGAGTCTCGGCGCTGCCTGTGGTTAATGAAAAAGGTGTGAGGAAATCTCTGGCTGCTTATCCCATCTTTGCTATGTTACCTGAATCCTGACCCGCTTTCTCACATGCTTCAAGCACAGCTAATGCAGCTCTTTCTTTTTACAGAATCATAAAATTGAAAGGTACCTCAGAGGGAGTCTAGTTCAAATCTGTTAAAGCATTTCAGATGGATGGCTACCCACCCTCTGTTTAAAGACCTCTAGTAAGGGAAATATTTCACTTCATCAGGCATTCTATTTTATCAGTTGACAAGACTTACTAGGATTATTAGGAAGAAATGCCCCCTAACTATCATAACCTGATTTTACACCCCCATAGTTACAGTGCACTGGTTCTATTCCTCCCCTCCGGAGTGGCAAATAACAAGACCTACTCCCTCCTCTGTGTGACAGCCCTTTAAATATTTGGAAGACAGATATCATATCTCCTCCTCAATTTTCTCTAATTGCATCCATTTTCTTTAAAGGGCTGATTAATTGTCATAATTCTGAGGCTTAGCTTGCCAATATTTTATTATCGCACATGAAAACGTCAGTATGCTTGTTATAATCTATTTTTCTGGCCCAGGTCCATCTCCTTTTTCGCTCCTCTCAGTACAGTATTATACTGTAGTTCTGGAGCTCTTCAATTTGTTGCTGATTTATATTTCGGCTGCTCTCCCTTTATATTTACTTCCCAGAATTATCACATTTCATTATCCCTTTGCTTTCTGTATGAGTGATGATGCTGTCTTCAGGATAGCCAGTTGTGGACTAAATAGCTAGAATGAGGGGTGCTAGAGCTTGATGCTAGTTCACAGCATAAATGAGAGCCAGTATGGTCTAGTGGTTAAAGCATCAGGCTAGGAAGAAGGGAATCTTGAGTTCAAGTGCTGTCTTGGCCATGAAAGTTAGCTGGGTGACTTTGGACCAGTGACTTTTTCTGCCTTGCAAGGTTTTTGTTGTAGGAGGAAGATGTGTTGGATATGTTCGCTGCCTTGACTTATTTATAAAAAAATAACAATAATGTCAGGATACAAATACATAAAAATAAATAACCCTATGTGTTAGATCGTGGGAAAAGAGACTCGAGACCAGGGTGACTTTCAGCTCTTTATTTAGTTCCTAAAATCTGTCTTAACCGGAGAGCCGCGGCAGCCTCTTTTATTGACGGCTGCTCGCAGCTAGTGGCCAATGACGGCTCCTTGAATCTCCCGCCGTCCAGATGGGCCAATCGTAGGGTAGGGATACTGTCCAATCAAAATGAGGTAATTGGGCCAATCAGCGAGCTGCCCTGGTGGCCCAATCAGATTACAGGATTTCAAGTATGTTAATATAGAACACTATGGATCTCTACTTAAAATGAGTCCAGTTAGTTAGTTTATTTTATTGATTATCAAAGGATCCAGTTCCGTAGGTCTTTTCAGCTATACGGCTGCATCTTAGACTGGATTTGGATTTCTTACTTTCAGATAGAGATGTGTTTCAGAACAATCTTTTGGGACTTTTAACACCATGAAAAATAAAGTTGGTCTCTGTCTGCTGGCTGCCTGACATTATCAGGTATAGAGGAGATCTTTCGCCTTTCATGATGGAATTGCAACCCGTCCTCCCAACATTTTGGATGATGGTGATTAATAAGATGTGTAGTGATAATTTAATGAAAATGCATCTTCTTTAACCCTGTTTTAAGTTAAACTAATCCTTAACTCTGTTAATAGTTGCTAAGCTCCTATTTGGCAAATACTGAAAAAGGAGGAATTCCTTCATAAAATATACAGTAGAGATAACTTTTGGCTAAGTTGGTAATGTTAATTTTCCATTCTTAACTTCAAGCTATAAGGCAGGCCTAGAAATTCATGATGAAATTGTGAAAGCATGTTTTTTGTCAGGTTTGCTGCAGGAAAATATGAATTTTGTGTGGTAAGTAAGTTTCTAAAAAGTTTCTGTGATAACGTTTGTGTATATGGCATCTTTTAATTCATTACGCCTGGAGAGATTCCTGACCTACTGTTCCCTTCTGTTTCTTATGTAGGAACGGTAGTTGGCCTCTATTCCCGCTTTGATGTGATTGTAAGTATGGGGCAGTTAGTCTTCCAGGTTCAGAGACGGTCTGATAAACAGAAGTACTGTCTTTCCCCTAAAAGAAGTCATTCCCAGATTTAAGATTTGCCCCACCCCCAGCTATAGATTAAAAAAAAAAAAACTTCCTTTACCATTTTTTTTTTTTTGCAGGAAAAACACCCCTTAAGATAACTCTCATTTTATAGATAAATTATTTTGGGACAAAGTTTTTGGATAAATACACTAAGAAGGACTAATCTAGCAAGAGTTCACATACAAAATAAAATCTGTATGTTTATGTGATGGGAAAACAGCAATTCTTAACTAATGGTAAGAGAAAGGTATATGCCGATCACCTTTAAGACAGGAGAACACATTTAATGAACTCCTGCATTTTGGAGAAGCAGTGCAAGAACAATGACTCCAGATGAGGCTTCTATTATTGTCTGTCCCATTCATGGAATTCTACAGTGATCTAGATGAATAATCCTTTTTACTAGGGTAGATTTATTTCCATGGAATAGTTGTTATACAGTGACTGGGTTCACTTATCACAGTAGAACATATTGTTTTTAGTTTGATTGTGGCTTGTCATGTTGGATGAACCCAGCCATTGGGGTCCTAAAGCTGTCACTTAAAATGTTACAAGCCAGCCAATCATAGTTTATGTAATAAACCATAGCTAAGCAAACCATGGCTCAATGTGACATATGAGCGTACCATGAATTAGTGTGTCAATATGAGGTGACTGTGCTTTGCAGGGGTGTCAAACTGGCAGCCCGCGGGCTGGATGTATCATACACAGGCCATGCCCAACCCAGCTCCACAAAGGCAAAAAAGGTTACGATACTTCACATGACATGATTGAGTTTGATACCCGTGTGCTAAGGCCTTGCTTCAAAGATTTTGAAGTGTCTCTCAGCATAATAATGTGCGTTCATGGTAGCCATCATGCAGTAATGCCCTACTCCCTCTTTGCTCCAAACTCCTCCTCTCCACTTGCTCTCCATAGCATCTGGCTGCCCAGAAGTCTTACAACAACCTGGACATTAGTGTGGGGGAAGCCCTGAAACAGCGCTCGGTCTGCCTAGAAGGAGTCCTTACATGCCATCCCTATGAAACTCTAGAAGACATAATTGATCGTATTGCCAAAGAGCAGGTATGGCTCCAGCATTGTAAGTAGGAGGGGGCAATGGGTTGGCTGAATTCATGTCCTTCTTTCTCCAGATGTCCTCAATATGTGTCTCCTTCAGATCCAAAGCCTTTTGCTTACTAAGTCATGGCTGATGTATAGTTTTAATCCACATCCTGCCGTCTGTTCCCTGACTTTTAGTGACAGGTGTTCCGGGAGCAGTCTAGGATCACCTAGCCTGCTCTTTTTCATGTGGAAAAGACCATGACTACAAATGGTAGACGAATAGATGGGTGTGTTTTGGATGCTGCAGACGGACCTTTATTTTACATTTGTAATCCAGTGTGGGCAACTTTTGTAATATCTGGGCTTCTAGCTTTTGTTTTTCTTTCCTGGCAGCTGAAGACGATTTAAGCATAAAAATGCAAATTATTATTATTGTGGTTGATTGCAGTCAGCCACATGTTTAGACTGGATTTGGCATTTTATCTGCCTATTGAGTCCTTCTCAAGTACCTGGAATAGACAGGTGTTATTATTGTAAGCTACTTAGAGCCTATTGAGTCCTTCTCAAGTACCTGGAATAGACAGGTGTTATTATTGTAAGCTACTTAGAGTCGCTCCACAGTGAGATGGGCAGCAAATAAATGTAAATAATAATAATAACAACAATAACAACAACCAATAATAATTAATACCTAGGATGCTGGCAGTAACCCATATCAGCCATCAGAGCCAGTCAATATTTGTGACACATTTTTAAATGTTCAGTTGACTGAGTTTCATGTTTAATGAATAAAAGATAATTATAATTAATAATAATAATAATAGGTTGCAAATATACAATAAAGCAAGATGCCATGGAAATTCCAAGCTCATATGGTGAAAGGATCTGATTACTATCACTATTATTTATAACCCGCTGTGGACATCCTTTTAAGTAGTGGTAGTCTTTATTACAGACATTGAACAGCTCAAAAAGAAAAAGAAAAGAGATTATTAGAAAGGAAGTAATAATCACAGTAAACCCATTTATAAAACTGGTGACAAAACACTGTATGTTTTACAAATAATGAAACAAAGCTCAGCCACTTTAATTATTAAAAGAAATAAAATATCCTTGATTGGAGAGTAACTTATAAATAAAATGGATCCAGATGATTTGGAAGTTTGTCTGGATGGAAAAATTGCAGATAGCCTTTAACTTATGACAACAATTGAGCCCAAAATTTCTGTTGTTAAGCAAGACACTTCTTAAGCGAGTTTTGCCCTATTTTACGACCTTTTCTTGCCACAGGTGTTAAGTAAACCACGACAATGATTATAACAAGGTTGTTAAGTGAATCTGGCTTCTCCATTGACTTTTCTTGTCAGAAGATCATAAAAGGTGATCACATGACCCTGGGACACTGCAACCATCATAAACATGAGCCAGTGGTCAAGAGTCTGAATTTTGATCATGTGACCATGGGGATGCTGCAGTGGTTTTGTAAGTGTCAAAAGCAGTCGTAAGTCACTTTTTTCAGTGACACTGTAGAACAGTCATTAAATGAATGGTCAAGGAGTACCTGTAGTAGCTCCAGCTGGGATCCTTATAATGAGAGCAATATAAGAAAACATGGGATAATGTTTCAGGAACTCCTTCACTCAGGGACAACGTTCTTTTTTAAACAGCGTAATTGGTAACCCTATAATTTGGTTTAGAAAAGAGCACCCCATGCTTTCTTTTGGCCCAGGGCATCTGATCTTTTCTAGCTCACTGGAGATGACAGTGATGCAGTAAGGCCTACCTGAGGCTCCACCATATGTATTTGCATATACTTCTCACCTACTTTTCGCACAGTGCCCCAATTCCTAAACAGACTGTGCTAAACACTGTAATTTCACTTCTATGAATGGCATCTTGTCTGTCTGGTATCTAAAACTCATCTTTACTGTCCTGTTCCTACTTTTGCCATGATGGTGTTCGGCTCACTCGTTGGGTAGGTGCATCGCCTGGTTCTGGTGGATAAGAAGAACACTCCGCGGGGGATCGTGTCCCTCTCAGATATTCTCCAAGCCTTGGTGCTCACACCCGCAGGTATCGATGCCCTAAACTCTTAGCTGGCCGACGCTCCATCCTTCTTCCATTTGTACCCTCCATTTCCTCCACTTCTCTCCAGCTCAGGTAGGCCCCAGGCCTTGGCCTCCTCAGCCTGTTTCCTCCTGCTGCTGCTGCTGTTGCTCATTTTTTTAAAACTTGCTGCTGGGTTTCTCATGTCCATCTGATCAAGCCAGGTCTGTATTTCTACTCCATCAAGCTCCGTTCTCGTGGCTTGGAAGGAAGGCCGGTGCACTGCAGTGGAGTTACAGGAGCGATTTAGGAATTTCTGTGGGGAGGAAGCAGCACTGACTCAAAAGGACACAATCCCATCTTCTAATTTGATGACAATTGAAGGATTCCAAAATTAAATATAAGCTTTTAAGTTTGGTTGCTTTTTTTTTTTAGCCTTGTGGATTTTCTTGTGTTCATTTTCTGATTGCATTAATGCAGACTGATAGACACAGGGATTTGTAGCAAGTGAGATAATGAAGGGTTTTGGATTGTTCTGCTGAAGGCAACAATCCACGCAGGAAAACTGTGTGTGTGTGTGTGTGTGTGTGTGTGTGTGTGTGTGTGTGTTTGAAAGAGAGAGAGGGAAGGGGAGGGAGAGAGAGTGGGGAGGGACGGTGTGAGAGAGGGTGTCTGTGTGTGTGAGAGATTTCTTTAGTTTTGCCTAGTACTAGTAAATTAGTTGCATTGTCTATCCATTTTTCAGTAACAAAAGAAGTTACAGCTACAAAAAGAATCAGGGATAGGATTCAATTCTTTTAACAACTGGTTCTGTGAGCATGGTTTTTTTTTTTGCACACACATACCCCAGTTTTTTGGGCCTTCTGGGCTTCTGGGAAGCCTCATGTGTTTTTGCTCCCAGGAAGGCAAAAAATGGATTCTACCAGTTCACACCTATTCCCTAGAACCGGTTGTTAACATTCTAAGCAGTTGTTAGAAGAAATTACTGGCCTAATCCTGTAAGGAAGGCAGGAAGGAAACATTCTGGTGTTCCTTATAGAAACTGCCTCTCCGTTAACCCTTATTACATTCTTGGCAGGACTTCAGGAACTTCTCTGTGGAGTTTTTTCCCCCTCCTTTGCTGGTACTTTGCTTGTGTGAAGTGACCATTCAAAGTTACAATGGCACTGAAAAAAGTGACTTATGACCATTTTTCACACTTACGACTATTGCAGCATCCCCACAGTCATGAGAAGCCAGGCGAGGAGATGCATGCCTTGATGTGAGTGATGTTGAGTTGGCCATGCCCAGCCAATAACATGACCACCAAGCCACACCCACCGAGTCACATGACTACCACGCCATGCCCACCACCTAAGCCACACTCACAGAACCGGTTGTTAAAAATTTGAATCCCATCCCTGAGTGCAGGGTGTGTGTGTGTGTGTGTCCCCTCCATGTTTTGCCTTCCTGGGCCTCAGGGAGGCCTCCTGAGTGAAACAATAAGACAGGAGGGGAATCCTGGCACAGCTGATCATAGGAACAGCTGATGGTCGGGAGGTAAAAAAAAACAAAGAAATACCTTAAGGAGTGATTGAGCTGGGAAGAACCCACTCAGCGATGTCAGGTATGCGCACGATGTTGCACATGCATGATAAGGACTGGGAGGGGAGGGGAGGGTCCAGCCAGGGGCATGTTTTGCTGGTTCTCTAAACTACGCAGAATGATAACAATGGTTCTATAGAACCAGTCTGAACGGGTAGAATCGTACCCTTGAAAAGAATCCATGGAACCTTCCACCTTCTTCCTTGAAATTCCCATTAATGCTTGGTGCAGAAGTGCCTCTTGTAGTGCATAGCTCTGGTCAGTCTTGGCTATCTCTTGCTTGTGAAGCAGTGGTCCCACAGGAAATGTTAAAAAAAGAATGCCTCTCAAGAAAGCTGCATCATTTTAGCTGTAAGGGTTATCATGAGAATTCGGCCATGTGCATATATAAGCTGTCCCACCTGAAAGCTTTTTCTGGCCTTGTTCCACCGTGCTTGACTTTGAATGAGCCCGATTGAGCCTTTGACTTTGATTTTTTTGCTGCTGCCACCAATCCAAAGTTAGCGATATTTGTGCCCATCTGTGTTTGTGTGCTCAGCTGGCTGGCATAGATTTGAATATAGAATTTGTCTATTAGTAACAATTCAGCTGGCAATTCCCAAGATGTCCTCCTACTTCCCCAAATGTCCAGGCTTTTAGACCTAGAGATAAGGAGGCAGAATTTCATGGATTTCTCTAGGAATACGCATTCTTTCTCTTAAAAAAAAAACTTTTTTAAAAATAGTTTTTATTATGGTAGTTTATAATATACGCTGCTCAAAAAAATAAAGGGAACACAAAAATAAGACATCCTAGATCTGAATGAATGAAATATTCTTATTAAATACTTTGTTCGTTACATAGTTGAATGTGCTGACAACAAAATCACACAAAAATTATCAATGGAAATCAAATTTAGCAACCCATGGAGATCTGGATTTGGAGTTACACTCAAAATTAAAGTGGAAAAAAACACTACAGGCTGATCCAACTTTGATGTAATGTCCTTAAAACAAGTCAAAATGAGGCTCAGTAGTGTGTGTGGCCTCCACATGCCTGTATGACCTCCCTACAACGCCTGGGCATGCTCCTGATGAGGTGGCGGATGGTCTCCTGAGGGATCTCCTCCCACACCTGGACTAAAGCATCCCCCAACTCCTGGACAGTCTGTGGTGCAACGTGGCATTGGTGGATGGAGCGAGACATGATGTCCCAGATGTGTTCAATTGGATTCAGGTCTGGGGAACGGGCGGGCCAGTCCATAGCATCAATGCCTTCGTCTTGCAGGAACTGCTGACACACTCCAGCCACATGAGGTCTAGCATTGTCTTGCATTAGGAGGAACCCAGGGCCAACTGCACCAGCATATGGTCTCACAAGGGGTCTGAGGATCTCATCTCGGGACCTAATGGCAGTCAGGCTACCGCTGGCGAGCACATGGAGGGCTGTGTGGCCCCCTAAAGAAATGCCACCCCACACCATTATTGACCCACTGCCAAACCGGTCATGCTGGAGGATGTTGCAGGCAGCAGATCGTTCTCCACGGCGTCTCCAGACCCTGTCACGTCTGTCACATGTGCTCAGTGTGAACCTGCTTCATCTGTGAAGAGCACAGGGCACCAGTGGCGAATTTGCCAGTCTTGCTGTTCTCTGGCAAATGTCAAACATCCTGCACACTGTTGGGCTATAAGCACAACCCCCACCTGTGGACGTCGGGCCCTCATACCACCCTCATGAAGTCTGTTTCTGACCATTTGAACAGCCACATGCACATTTGTGGCCCGCTGGAGGTCATTTTGCAGGGCTCTGGCAGTGCTCCTCCTGTCCCTCCTTGCACAAAGGTGGAGGTAGCGGTCCTGATGCTGGGTTGTTGTCCTCCTACGGCCTCCTCCACGTCTCCTCCATGCTCTGGCCTGTCTCCTGGTAGTGCCTCCATGCTCTGGCCACTACGCTGACAGACACAGCAAACCTTCTTGCCACAGCTCTCATTGATGTGCCATCCTGGATGAGCTGAGCTGCCTAAGCCACTTGTGTGGGTTGTAAACTCCGTCTCATGCTACCACTAGAGTGAAAGCACAGCCAGTATTCAAAAGTGACCAAACCATCAGCCAGAAAGCATAGGAACTGAGAAGTGGTCTGTGGTCACCACCTGCAGAACCACTCCTTTATTGGGGATGTCTTGCTAACTGCCTATGCTTTCCACCTGTTCTCTATTCCATTTGCACAACAGCATGTGAAATGGATTGTCAATCAGTGTTGCTACCTAAGTGAACAGTTTGATTTTACAGAAGTGTGATTGACTTGGAGTTACATTGTGTTGTTTAAGTGTTCCCTTTATTTTTTTGAGCAGTGTATAATACAAAAATACAAATGCATACTTTCTCAAATACAAGGGAAAAGCATGGATAGAAATGCTGCTTAAGCATCATTTTTCTTTATAAACATCCTTATTTGAAAATTTCCTTGTTAAGCTTTCATTTTATATTCCAACACAATTCTCAAAAGAGAGGTAAAACTAGGAGGGCTATAACAAATGTCTCAGTTATTCTTGGAGTTTCGCGTTGATTCACAGTTTAATGAAGTCAGCAGATATGTGATGCATTTAATTAAAGCAAAATCTAGGACTGTAGCCAATATTGCTGATTGGAAACTCTGCTCTGATGTTCTTTGAGGGACTAGCTGTAATTATAGATAATTTATACTTGCAAGTTGTCACATTAAAGTTGTTTTAGGACTATGTTTATTCTGCTGGAGCACTGGAATGAGATTACAGTAGAATAAAGCTTGCTCAGTTCCACTTCATTTTTAAAACTCAAAATTCCATCTTTCAGAATCTGGAATGAAAGATAAATCCCAGAGACCTGTCTGACAAAACCCTGTACCTCAATTCCTGGAAGCTGTAATTAAGAATGTTAATTAATTAACTGAAGCTTTTTATTTGCTAATATAAATATATTTTCATGCTAAATAAATAAAATTAGGTATAAACTGATTTAGATGTGAACCAATTTAGTGGTGAAAGAAAGAAAATCGTGTCTTGCTACAGCTGTTAGTCAGAAACTCTTGACAGTTTCTGCAAATCATCCAATAACTTATACATACTTCTCCCAATCTTCCTTCTATCTGCTCCTGCTTTACTATGGATTAGCAATTCACGGTAAGCAGACCATATCAGGAATCGAACTCTGCAGAAAAACCAGCACTGTACTTCATTGAGATTGACTGTAATAACAGATTCTTGCAAGCCTGCTTGTACTTTATTCCCTCTTACCTACTCAATTAGGGAGAAGCCTATCTAAGCCTCTTCCAAATCCCATCTAGCTTCTCAGGACTGAAGGAATGTTTCAGCCCTCTTTGCTTACACAAAAGTTATTGCCTATTTCCCTCGAGGGAATCTTCCTGCCTCGGTACACTCTGTAATCTGTTTGCTGTTACAGTGTATTGATTTTAGTATATCAAAATCCAAGGTCAATTATCCTCCTTCAGTCTCAAAAAAGTATTTCCTAATGAGCTGATCAGCAAAGGAGATTACTTTTAAATGGGGAAGGGGCGTGTATGTACTTAAGGATACTGTTGTAGTAGCCTGACCTGTATTCTCCCTCAGAATTTTTTCAGAAAAACAACCACGGTTAGGGTGTGCTTGGTGGGATATACTTCTTGCATTGTTTCTCAGAAGTTTCATGTCACTTCAGTAGCCAAAGAGGAGCAAAGAGCTGGCTCATTTCCCACTAGATAACATTAAATTTTATAAATTCCATTCTGCAGGCATCAACTGCTATTCCCTCTGACAGTGTGCAAGGACTCCTGGCTACTTGATCTGCTGCTACTGCATCAATGACTCCTGGGGGCCAGTAAGAGAAGCTCTAACAGCTATGAAGAAGGCCTAGCATCTCAAGAGCCCTGACTGCCAGTTCCTTCCTCTCAGTGAACCACGAAAGAGGCCTGAGGGAGGACAAAAGTTCTAAACTCGGAATTGCAAATGGAGGGGGGTCACTTCTTTGGCCCCTAAACCAATATACAGGAACTAGTCTGCTACAAGGGTGTGGGGTGGGGGGAAGGAGAGGTGTGTATCTTGAACAATGTGTCCATTGTTTGCCTCCTCTTCTTGGCCTCACTAACTGGAAGATTGTATTTGAAAATCGAACATGCTTCGGGGCCTCTTTTGCTTCAGCTGGAAAAAAGATTGCTAGAGACTATGGATAATGCTTCAGGATAAAGCCCAAAAGGTTATTTACCTTCGCTGCAGGAGGATTAATTCTAAGTTAAAGGCAGATTCTACACCTTGAAAAGGACTAGGCTGAGCTATTTCAGAAAAACCTGCAGGTTTTTTTCTTAGTTCTTAAAGTAGGCTCATGTCTTGCTTTGATATTTCATTGCACTGAACCACTTGGAAGGCAAGGCACAAGACCAGCTTAGGATAATTGTTGTGAGGTAGACAGGACCCTTGTTTGTACACTTTTAGGTCCCTATTCAAAGTATTTTGCCCCATTCTGAAACTTAATACTTTTGCCCCATTCTGAAACTTAATACTGTCTCCTCAATAGGAGAACAGGGAAGATACAGTTTTAGTGTCAGTGATACATCCTTCCTCTTTAAGGCTGCAGTATAAAGCAAGGCTTTGCTTTTGTGCAACTGTAGCACACAGTAAGAAAAGGTTGTGCTAGGAGAGACACAATTTAATGTGGGAGAACTTCCTTCTACAGTAAGTCAGAATACAATTTCTTATTGCTGTCACATTTGGGGAAATAAATCTTTCACACTGCTACCCTTTTTATATAGAATTATAGTTCAATTTTCCAGCTTGTGGCACTTGGTTATTTAAGCAAGGACTAATGGCTGCCTGCCTGGAATGCTACTACAGGAGATTGACTTTAGATATAGGTAGTCCTTGACTTATGACGGTAATGGAGCCTGCCACTTACTGTTGTGAATCGTGATGGTTGTAAAGCAGGTCATGTGACCAGCTTGATTTTTAAAGGTTTTTTTTTTTGCACTGGCCATCAAGCAAACACCACAGTCATTAAGTAAACCCATGGTTCACTATGGTACACTTTTTCCGAAAACTGGAACTAAAGGCTGTTTTTTGGCAAAACCATCTTAAATTGTGAACATGTGACTGCAGGATACTGCAAATGCCCACTAACATGGGCCAGTTTCCAAGTGTCCAAAATGCAGTCATGTGACCGTGGGAGGGCAGTCATTAGAATTTTGTAACCGGCTTGTAACCTTGGGGGAAGTCTTTTGTAACTTCAGTTCAACACCACAGCTAAGGCAAATTTGGGTCAACCCTATGGAGAGAGTTGAGCATGCAGTGAGTGACAGTCACAACACTCAAGAGTTGTCTAAAGAATATATGAACTATAATTACTTCAGTCTCCTGAGCAAGTATGTACCTGCATGACTTCCAAAAGCCTTTATTCAAAGGGGAATAATCTATAAATAATCCATAACACTTTTTGATTTCTCCAGACTTCTCTTTGCATCATTTGGGGCAATAGCAGAAAAGCCCCCATATTTAGCTAACTGCTGTAGTCATGAGATTGAAACTTAGTGGCTTCATCTTAGTGCCATGCAAAAATCTCAAATTAATGCCTCATTGACATCGTTTATTCTCTTGGCTAACCTGAAGGATATGCATTTAATCCAGGGCAAAATTCAGTTTGAAGGTCCTGTCCGATTTTAGTTTTCAGAAAAGGTTGCTTTATCCCATTATACATAAGGTGTCCTCTGCTGCCTATTACAATAAGGTCCCCAAGTCCTAGTTTAGCTCAGTTCTTGACTGAGTTGATCCCACAAAATTTTCTTGTCAACAATATGTATTTCCCATGATAATGTTTTTCAATTTCTCTATTTGACCTGAAGCCCAGTCATTTCCTGATGTCCCCAACTGAGACTTTTGCAATAATTGGGGGATAATTTAAGGTATAACCTCTATTTTCAGATTGTCTTCCTTATTCCTTGCTTTTGTAACACAGGATTGAGAGCATTAGAAAATCTGAGGACACATGCACTTTTACTGCTCCAAAGAAAAGATATTGCCCAACTGTGGATTTTGATTTTCTTCCCAGACATCCTCCATTGTGCACGAGCATTGGCATTTTTATTTTTCTACAGTATATCCCCTGAAAAGAAAATCTGCTTATTTTAAAGAGTCAAAGGCTTCCTTTGTCCAAGAAGATTAGTTGCTAGTACAAATCTGCAATAAAACTGATGTTTCTTTAAAAAGTTGTGTCTTCAGAAAATTTCTTGCCTTCAGTTATAGGAATTACTATTTTTTTTCCTCTTTCCTCATCCACATTCCCAACACTAGATAATATTATCAAATTCTGCTATATACATATAATAGATAATAGGACCAAAATGTACAAAAGTGATCATATTTCTGTCCGCCAAAGGGATTCCACCTATTGAATCTGCTGATTGCTATAAGTAAATTGACCAAAACAGAACTGAACATCTTCAGTTCACCCACAGGTCTACAATGGTGACAGCAGTAGTATGATAGTCAAGGATTCACTCCATTCTTTTGTCAATCCCTAGTTATGGAAAAAAGATAAACACGATGTTCTTCAGGAAGTCCTCCACAATTAAGAAATCATGATGGATTATTAAATATTTCTGAACTATGGGAACTCCACTTGAAGTTGAAAGGAGGCTTGCTGGAGGGTGCAAGGCAAGAACGCTGCAACCACCAAATGATGAATACACCCTTCATTAGCAATCAGAATAAATTGAGTAGCTCCTTATTTTGGAAGTGGTAAGAATTTCTCCATCTTTTTGGCACGGGGGACGTTCCTGTCAGAAGACAAGAATAAAAAAGATAAACCAAGAATGAACATGTCCTCTACAATCATACAGTCATTCCACTAATAATGGTGCTGCTGGCAGACCAAAAAGAGTCCAAATGCAACCCAATGTATAAAGGTTTGGCACTGGATGTGAAGGGACAGGTTTTATACAGTGATCCTTAATACTGAGCATTATGTCACCTTTTCCAGTATGGTTTGAGCAATGCCACCATTCCATTACACCTAGCCAAGCTTTATGTTGTCTTTTAGTGTGATACTTACAAAAGTGGCAAAGTTGTGCCCATGCAGTTACGAAGCTTGTTTGGAAAGCAGCCATTTCCTGGACTCAACTGGACAGTGCTGGCCTCTGGGGAAACAAGTGGATGGAAGAGCTGGTCAGGGAAGATTAAGCTCATTCCCTAGTTTACACGCTTTTCAAAATTATCAAAACAGCAATGCTCCCCACTGTATAGATTTCAGTTAACTCACCTTGCTCATTCATTACAATGGACTGATGTACTGATGGGACAAGGTTTTCTTGCTCTTCTTCTATAAAATGCTTCCAAAATTTGAATGGCAATGCTAGGAGACGGGAGACCACCTAGAGAAAGGAAATAACATCAGCCTCTGTCTACCTCCTGATTCCTCCCCCTTCTTTTTCTCTCCCCCTTGGTTCTTTAGCTGACTCATATCTCAAACTACACACACACACACATCAGGAATTCCATTTAAAGCAGTAAGGTTGATCATAATCGAGAAGAACAATAGAAATAACCACCCAGAGTCACTTCAACAAAGAGATGGATGACATTTAAATTTAATGAATAAATTGTTAATCAAATAATACTTAATGAAATCTCAAAAGCAAAAAAAGAGGTTAAGAAGAATATTCACTACAACCCACCTACCAAGTCTTGCTTGTTCTCACATTGGAGAGAAGCTATGTTCTCCCAACCCATCCCTCAAGAGATAAGTTACTGCCATACAAAGGAACCAATCCTATAAAATCAGAAACATTTTTGATAAAGACTGAGCATTGTGCCGTGATGAGCCACTGAAAGCTGAAAGAAATTGGAGAGGTTGCGGATATTACCAGGCACTGGCGTGGTGTGTCTTCCATGATGAGAAGTGGGCTGGGGCTGGGAGTGCTGTGTCCAACTAGCAGTGGTCCAAAGATACGCGCCAAGTTCTGGCAGTCCATTCGACAATCAGGGCTCTGCATGACCCTATGGATGGAGAGATGGATCCATGGAAACGGTAACCCATGCTACAGCAAAAGCATTTCTGCTGCATATCATTAGCCATTCCTGATACGTGTATATTATGGGAAAAACTGCTTCCAACACTACAGTGAAGGATGTCAATTCACATATGAAGCCAGTTTGGTTCAAGGCTAGTATCTAAACCTAGAAATCCTTTTCCTTTAGAATGCTGAAGATATCTACAGACTGAAGGAAAACCATAATTTTGCAATAGGAGATCATGAAGTTCGAATGAGTTTTAAAACAGTTATAGGCAGTCCTCTACATCTGAAGTTATGACAGCCTTGGAAAGCACTTCTAGCTACCATAAGAGGTTGTGGTGCCCCCCTCTCAGTCATGTCACCGCTTTTTAGGCATTTGGCAACCGGCTGTCATGTGATTGCAATTTGCTATGGTTTTTGCTGTTTTCCAGCAGAAAATGGCAAGGAAGGGTTATTTTCTGTGGTGGCACAGTGGTTAGAGTGCAGTACTGCAGGCTACTTCTGCTGACTGCCGGCTGCCTGCAATTTGGCAGTTCAAATCTCACCAGGCTCCAGGTTGACTCAGCCTTCCATCCTTTCACGGTGGGTTAAATTGTTGGGGACAATACGCTGACTCTGTAAACCACTTAGAGAAGGCTGTAAAGCAATATATAAGTCTAAGTGCCATTGCTATTACTGCTGCTATTTCATATGCTGGATTCACTTAACCACATAGTTCACTTAATGATCACATAGTGCACTTAGTTACCATGGTGACCTACTTAACAATGGCCCTGACTTGTTACCAAAATTCCAAGGCAAATTGTGGTTGTTAAGTGAGAACTATCTCTAATACTGTATATTGCCATGATTTATTTTTAATTTTTTTTTGGTGGAAGAGGAAATATTCACTATAGTCCAACATCTAAGCCACAGTAGGTATAGTAAATAACTATACTCCAAAGTAACTTCTACAACTATGGTCATGATGGCAGGTAAGTACGAGATTTCATTTCAGCAAATCTAGAAAGCAAAAAGATTGGGATAGGCTCAACTAGATGTTGTGACAGCTTCTGTGAGCAACTATTTTCACAAGAAAAATAATGTTTCAAAATATGGCTCTCTGCCAAGTAGTTGTGCTAGTTCTTTGCTTTAAAAATGTGTCCGATGGGGAGGAACATATATCATTACAATCTTAACATGCAATCCCTCCCAATAAATTCACTTTTATGAAAATACCTCCTCCTTCATTATAGATTGATCTAAATCAGCAGTGTTATTCTTCTTCTAGCAAGACAGACAAAAGACCTGTGCATGTTTGTGTTCCAGTTATTTTGTAAAAGAAGGTGATTCCACCTCCAGAACTTGAAGCTTGTAGACGACAGGTGCACATCAGCGGGAAAATGTTCTAATGTTTCTTTTTCTGCATCAAGCAAGAAACTCAACTGGGTGGGCTCTAAAACCTCTCTCCCAGCTTTCTGATCCTAAGGTTTTCCTTTCCAAGCTTAAATTTGTGCTTACCTATGCAGGTGGAGCATGAGAAACGCTAGCGTGTCTCTATTAGTCGTGGGCAACTTCATGACAACACGGCAGAGTTCAGTATGGCAGGCAGATTCATCCGGAATTTCTGAGTGGAAAGAAAGGGTGATGCAAATCCTTTATGCCTTTCTAAGTCATCCAAAGTGTTCAGCCATTTAACCCTGCTCCTTTTTTCACGAATGACCAGTTTTCCCTAACAAAACTAGAATCACTTAAGGCATAGCACTTTAATTGTACAGCGATCCAGGAAGAAACTAAAAGGTTTCCAAGAATCGAGCAATGTCAGGTACAAGAAATCAGGAACCAGAATAGATTTCAAAAAATATTACAGGTTTATTGCATGCTACCTTACCCAAGAATCTGGTCTTATCTGGTGCAGGTGAATTGGCACCAGATAAGAGTCAACAGACTTCAAGGAGAAGGGCTGGACTTAGGTCTCTTACAGGGGCATAGAAACTTCAAGCTGATGATGCGTTTGACCCCACCCACCCTTGGGCTCAGCCTGGTCATATCCAACATCACCCAAATTCCCCTTAGTCACTTCCACTCCAGAGCTTTCTCTGAGAATCCCATCCCAACTCACCTGCTGCCTGCAGGAAGGCAGTGTGCAGGCAAAAGGTAATTAAAGGCTCTTTCAGATTCCTCAGGAAATCCTTGAGGATGCCACAGATCACATGCACATCAGCCACAAGGTCGAGGGAAGGAAGAGCTCCTTGGGCAGACAGCAGTTTGTATTTCCATTCACGCATGAGAGGTTCTGCCCCTGGCACTCTGTACAGTCCAGCCTAAAGGTGAGCAAAAGGCCAGAGAAATAATTACAAGGATGTGGAACATCCACTGGAGTTGAGCCTAAGCAATTGCTGAGTTACAGTCAATGACATCAGTCAAAAATCAGAGTGCTATCCCCTCAGAGAAGGGAAAGGTATCTAATTAAAGGAGAGAAGAAGTTTTGAAAATCCTAAAGAGGTTCCTACTAGCAAATACAAGACAAAACCAGACCACAGCTGCTGAAGAGAAACAGATTAATTAAATTCAAGGGCAGCAAAGTGCTGGATTTGATCCTTCAACATAACTTCAGAGCACAAGGCGGGAAATGCAACACCTGTTTTCAACTCTTTCATTGGGCTGTTATCTTTTCATGCAGCAGAGGTAGATTAAAAAAACAGAACACGATCAGCAGCACTGAAACATGGAAGGGAAAAAGATGAGAAAATACATAAAAAAATATAGAGCAGAGAGCAAAGGGGAAAAATCTTCTCAGTGTTTAGAAAATCTGATGTACAGATCCACATTTTATCAACAACAAAATAGCAATTGAAAAACTGTTTACATAAGTCATCAGAGGGCCGAAGCAATGGAGAAGGTCAAACAGAAGAGGGCTGATATATCACACATGTTTCCTCAAGCAGAGTAGACAACTACTTCTTCTGGACTGAATATCACAGAACACGAAGTGTGTGGTTTTTTATGAAAGGGGCTTTCATGATCAACATTTCTTCCCTTCATTTCCTAGGTCTTCTTGGTACGATCTTGTCTCTATAGCAGCGTCGCCTTTGAGAAATGTGTTGCATTCAACTATGGACACTCATGCTACCTACGCAGTGCTTACCAAAAATTATTCTCATAAGATAAGATATTCAAAGTAAATTTGTTCACTTATATTATATTACATAGAAGCATTCCTTAGGGGTATTTTTCCCCACTTTTGTAAACTGTCTAACCAGGGATGAAAATCTTAGTCTCTGTGAAGGAGGAAAATCATTTCTTTAGGTTTGGAAAAGAAAACTATGGTAAAGGGGGAAAAATCCCAATGCTTAGATTTTCAATAATGGAAGTATTGCTAACTCCACTGATCTACTACATATCCCCTTGTATTCTGTAGAAGAAAACAACATTCAATAAAGCTATAAATATTTTTCCCAATGTTCTGGACCCCACTAAATAAAGTTGCTTTGCAATGTTTTGTAAAATTTGAGAACATCTCAGGAAAAAAAAATCGGGCAAGTTTAGAGACCCAATGTTTGAATGTCCTGTTATTTCCCATCACAAGATAGGAGGGAAAAGACCATCACAAGATAAAGATAGTTACTCCCCTGATAGGAAGAGCATATTTGATAGGCAGTGATGGGATTCAAAATAAATTATTACCAGTTCTGTGGGCATGGCTTGGTGGGTGTGGCAGGGGAAGGATACTGCAAAATCCCCATTCCCTCCCCACCCCGCTAACCTGCTTTCCAGCTCCTTTCTCCTGTCTAGGGCAACAAAAGAAGACCCAGCCAATCAGCAGAGAATAGATGGGGGTGGGGCCAGTCAGAGGTGGGATTTGCCAGTTCTCCGAACTACTCAAAATTTCTGCCACCGGTTCTCTAGAATTGGTCAGAACTGCTGAATATCACCTCTGTTGATAAGTACTTCTCAGAGACCTGACACCTCAAAGCCAAAAAGTACACAATTTCCTTTCCTTTAGAAAGAAAGTTAGTTAAAGTGTAATCTATCAGCCCTCCCAGGTAATCCAGACAGCAAACACAACTAGATGAACTAATTCTTTTTTTTTTTTTTGGTAAGGCTACTTTAACACTGCTGTGTCTGAAGGCACAAATTTCCTGTCTCCACTTTGAACTGCTTGATTCCTTAGGGAGGGTCCTTCCTACGTTTCTTTCTCTGACCTTTAAAATGACTACAACCTCCTGCCTCTCTCGTTTGATTAGTTTCTTAGGCAGCATTTCCTCGCCTCATTCTCCGAAGGTCACCCATACCTTCCATTACGTATTAGGTACAGTTAACATGATTCATCTCCGTACAGATATTTAATAATTTCTACTCCCTGTTACACTAAAAATATACAATTTGAGAACACTTCTAAAAAATTGTATCCCATACATCTATTGAATCCAAAGGGTTAACCTAATTCTAACGCTACTGATAGAGTTAGCCCAACTCTATATTCAAATAGCTACAGCAGAGAATTCAGTAAAGATTGAAAAAGCAACAGGGAGTGGGAATTGAGTTTATCTGCAGAGCAAAGCAGCTGAAGTTCCATCACCATTTCACAGCTTATTTTTTCCCACTTTTCCTCTGATTCCACTTACCTCTTGCAGGCCACGTTTCTCTATTTGAACCACACACTGAACCACAATGGGCGGCACCAGCGGTGGCTTGGAAGGCGCAAAATCAGCTAGCGTACCCTAGGGAAGAGATGGGGCAGACTTAGGAGACCTCTTTGCATCAGATCTCAATTCCCCAAACTGTTTTTACCCAGGAAACGCCTCCCCTCCGTATGGAGGGGTTGGGGAAATAAAAACAAATTCAAAGATAATGCTGGGATTTTGCCATCAGGTGGCAGCACTTAGCTGACTTTAGAAAACTTCAAAGAACAATAAGCAACTATGGAACCTGGAAGTTCTAGGGCTGCAAAATTAAGCAAATTGTTATTGTGTGGAAAAAAAAAAACCCATCCCTGATAAACGGCTTCCACATTATTACCAAGATAGCTGCAGAGTTCATGTAATCACCAGAAGTTAAGTTTGACTTGAGGGTGACTTCACCATTTGAGGAGTTTCCTCACCTCTTTCCCTCTGGAGTAGGCACCTGGCACACACCGTGAAGGACACTGTTCTCTGCACTCTGGATGCATTAGAAGCTGACATGACTGACATTTAAGTGCCATCCTCCCAAAACGCAAGCGGGATTTGCAAGCGACACACCAGTCCAGACGAATCACCTTGGACAGAGGACAAGGAGGAGAAGGAAGAAAGGAGATGAACTCAGCACAGGGAAAAGAAGCTGGCATGAAGCCTTTGCAGCTCTGGCTATTTCTAAAATAGACAAATCTAAACTGTAACCTTGCCCTTCGGCCCAATATTCTCTTTCTTTGAAATCTCAGAACGTTTGTGTTCTCTACACAAGAGAAAGCTGTGAAAGGGAAGCCTAGGGGAGTCTTACTCGTGAGCAATCCTTAAGTTGTCCCTGAAGTAACAAATCACACAAGGTCTGAAAACCAAGCTACACGTTACCTTAGCTGTACAGTTCTGAAAGTGAGTAGACATTTTCCCCCTCAAAAAATGCCAGCATAGAAACAACCTGGAATGATTGTAAGAGGGAAAACGGGACAATCCTAGACCAGTGCCAAGTCCAAAAATGCCATGGAATTTCTAGAAGCCTGGCACTCTGACAAATCAGTCATCAATAGACACATAGACATTAACAACATCTATAGATTATGCAAAAGAGACAATTAACTACCCCTAACGAGAGAAAAAGACTCCAGCACCTCTCCACCAATAATCAGCACTCAGATCAGTATAGATTAACTTCAAGGTTAACTTCAGACCAACAATCAAGTAAGCAATACCCCAGTCAAGACACTGCCAAAGAGCCATCAGTAAACAGCCCAACCAAAGAATCTCTAAGACCCCTCCACCCACACAGACAGGCAAGACACCAGAATATAAACTGACAGCAAACATCGCTCCTTACTAGCACTGATGATGTAACCTAGTTAGGGGAATGAAATGTCTGCAAGAAAACAAGCAAGCTCAGAGAGCACCAAGGGCCCCTGACTATAATGCTGTAGTCTGGTCCATGGGTTCTATGAGAAGTTAAAATGGGGAAAGGTTTAATTGAACACAGCCAAGGGCATCGTAGCAATTTTTTAAAGTGAAAAGCAACTACATCCCAATCACTAAATATTGATTTGCTTAGTTAAAACATTAACCTTCAAGTAATTGGAAATTCATGTTGGAAACTCTAATTCTGCATGGCAATAAATAGTTTACTTTTGCAGTTACCCTTTTGGAAGCAAATTGGTGTTGTTGGAGTGGTGGCATTCCTGATGAAGGAACGAAGGCACCAATAGTTTCCCTGGAGGTAGGTCCAATGGTTTTACTTCCAACCTGGCTATTTGGTCTACCAGATTCATCAGTGCTATTCCAGACAGAAGTGAGCTCTGTAAAGAAAAAGATCCACATTCAGCATGAGGAATATTTTATATATATATATATATATATATATATATGTCTGTCTGTCTGTCTGTCTGTCTGTCTGTCTGTTGTCCCGATTCCTGAGCCTATGCTGTCAGAGGAAGAAGACCTGGAAGATGAGGAGGAGGAACTGGGAATGCCTTCCTCCCCAGGACCTTCCTCCCTGATAATGCCTCAGGTTCCATCAGACAACCGAGAGGAACAGCCTGAGATTAATCAGGAGGAAGGCATATCAGAGCAGCCCCTGACAGGGAGTAAAGAGGAAGAGTGTTGGCTCGATCCTAAGCAGCGTCGTAGGGAGAAACGTGAGCAGCAACGTAGGAGGCATGGGAGGGTCAGAGAGTGAGCTGAGTCATTGAGCCACACCCCACAGGGGATAAAAGTGGGTGTGTTTTCTCCTGAAACTTTGTACGGGACAAAGTTTAACCTGACTTCAGATTTTCTTCGTGAATGACTATTTTTGTGGGCTGCCTTGTGATTTTCTGTGAGTAAAACTTTATCAGTTCGGACTTGGCAGGCAGGACATGTGGGAATGCCAAGAATATTATCAGTTCCAAAGAATTAACTCTGTGAAGTCCAAGCCAGCTTGCCTGCCTGTGTTGGTGTGAGTTTGTACTCTTTCATATTTTGGGAAAGAGGAAAGGCAAGACAGAACATATATACATATACATATACATATATAGATAGATATATATTTTTATATATATTTTTCCGAAATGCCATCACTCTGCTAAAGAAATAATTCCCTCAACGCTGTCCAATATTTTACAAAGTCTGCACTACTATTACTATTAATCTTCTCATCAATCATTATCACCTATCCCCTCCCACTTGTGACTGTATGACTAGAACTTTGTTGCTTGTATCCTAATGATTTATATTGACTGTTTCCCAATATGATTTGATTGCTTATTGTACCCTATGACTATTCTTAAGTGTTGTACCTGATGATTCTTGACTCTTGACGAACGTATTTGTTCTTTTATGTACACTAAAAGCATTTGCACCAAGACAAAATTCCTTTTGTGTCCAATCACATTTGGCCAATAAAGAATTCTGTTCTGTTCTGTTCTATTCTAATTCTATTCTAGTGTGGGTTAACCCCCACCGCAAGGAACTGAAGGGTGGAAATGGACACCTGAGTGTGTGGAAATTGAACCATTCAGCTGGGATTGACAATGGGGCACTACAGCACTGGTTGATGAACTGTGGGCAAGGTTTCTTCTGTCACCAATGGCTCTAGATCTCAAGGTCACCAGGGGCAATTCCTTCACCTAGCAAGAATTGAAAGAGAGGAAAGGAAAGGAGGAGAAAAAAAGGAACAGATAATAATCTCTTCAAATTGGGATGCAGATTCTTATCTATATATCAGATTTCATATGGACAGAAATACAGGACTGGGTTTCATTTAATCAGTGAGATGTATAGGCTTGCAGGCCATAGTTGCACAACATGTTTACATATTAGTTCAGATGATGACATAGCTGAATTTACCAAACAAGAAATCAAGGCTGTATAACATGTATACACAGGTCATGGCATAATTAGAATTGACCAAATAAAGAAGTAGGGTAAAAACTTACATGTATGTGTCTAAATTGAGTGGATGGAGTAGAGGAGAGGAACTAGGCTGATAAGAGCCAGGAGCCAGCTCCTGGATTATCTCGGAGGAAGCACAAAGCTCTTATTGGGATAGACCAAATGGTTGCCAGAAAAACATTACAGAGGACTCCAGGTGGACAGATAAGGATCAACCAATCACCAAGCTTGATGTTGAAGGATGGCCTTTATAGCTGAGTGATACCAATCAGGACTTTAAGAGGGCTATCATTTTCACTTGATCCTTCCCTACCTTATTTGATGTCATATTTAAGTTCCTGTTTTGCAATATCACATTATCTCATTTCTTTGCATAGCTAGTCAGTGAAATAGCAGGTTTAAGTCAGTAATGGCAAGAATAAGAGCTTGCATCTTGAATACCTTCTCACTCATGCATTCATTGACAGAAACGTACGTTGTTAGTAAATGCTCCAAAACATTGTGAGTACTTGGCTGCTACTGCTGGCTGAACCAGGGGAGCTAGGGAGAAACGCTGCAAGAAAAAAAAATTGTAAGCATGAAAGCCGCATGAGCTTATTACAGGGAAGTATAAATATTTTTTGTTTCTTCTAGCCCGCAAAACTTTGATAGGTGAAAAAATGGGTGTAGATGTCAAACTTTTCAGAGTTTTGAAGTTAAAAAAACATTGTGGTTGCACACATGTACATGTATAAAATTCTGCCTTCCCCTGTCCAGCAATAGTGCACTTGTAAGCTGCTGAGAGTTGTTTGAGGAGGCAAGACAAACAACCAAATGTTCTGCCACGGCATTTTCACTTACCATTCTGTTTTTGCTTTTGACAGATCTGATCATCCTTACATCCTTGAAGAGAAACAAAGAAGAAGAAGCTTGAGGGAGGACATGGAAATATATTATTCACAAGTTACTTACAGTAACGATCATTTCTAAATAAACCTGTTAGGAATAACATAGGTTACCTAACTTAGTTTGGGTAAAATAATATATATAAACTATGATTGTAAGTTTAAGTGTGTGTCACTTTAAAACTGCAAAGCATGTAATTTTGGGTGTGGTGTGAAACCACCATAAGAAGGAGCAAGAGACCCTGATTGATTGCTGGCAATTACTGACAATTACTGGATTGCATGGTTTGTTAGCTGCGTGTTTCCCCTACTGCTGAGTTTGCTGAAAGAAGAGAGGAGTTTTTGAGTTCTTCATATCTCTACTGCGAGGAGATATATCACCGGACTGATATTTGTAAGTTTACTGATCTCTCTTTTTCGACACTGGAATTTGCAACTGAATAATCCCTGGACGGACTGACTAGTGAATGATATATGGGCTGTTTTTGACTATGATATAAATCTTGCTGGAATAATAAACTATTTAATTAGCACTGTGTATCTGTTTTACTGAGTGTAAGCTACAAGAACGTTTATCTCACATATTTTGCCTGCCTGCCTGACTGCCCTGCAGATCCTGCTAGGGTGTATCCCTAACAAAACCCTTCAAATTTTGTTTTACACCATGTATGCAGCATTTTAGAAGCACACGAAGATTGTACCATCTTCAGACATACATGAATTCCTAGTACACTCACGGGCTCTAAATGGCACAAATTGCTTCCAATGACTAACATACATAGGTGAGGCCTAATTTAATACACATCACACATTCTAGAAGCCTCAATACATAACTGTTTTTAATTTTTACTGTCTGGAATAATAACTGTTTTGAATAAGTATAGTAATATTTATTTCATTTCTCTTTGGCAGCTTGCATTAAAATTACGTTGTTAGACGTAACCCATACTTTACAATGAAGAATACTGGAAATTAAAAAGTGTGGGACTCAAGTAAATCAGTTTGAAAGTAAAATTGTTTTTCCATTCCTAACATTCCTAACAGCCTCATAAATCTGGATGAAAAACTCTTCCACCAACCTTCATTTTCCCCCATGCCTAGTCTTTACCCTTCTTTTCTTCAACAGATACATGCCAGTTTATTTGACATACAAGGGAGAAAGTTTTGGATCATCATATTGGATGTGTTTGCTCAATAAAAAAAAATGAATCCATAAAAAAATCTATGAGCAACTCCTGATGAATTCTCACTTCATTTTGTGGCAAAATCAATCTGTTTATTTTGTGTTACTAGCCTTCTTTCCCATCACACATCATACATGCATATTTCTTTTTTATAATGACACTCACTGTATGCAATACAGTGGACTGCATTAGTCATCCTTGTACATTTTATTTGTGATCCATGTGTAGACTCTGATATCTTACTGGAAGGAATCCTTATGTGCTACCAAAACAAGTGAACATTTTGGACAGAATAATAATTTCCCAAGAGACCTACTGCTAACACATTTCTCCAGCTCTGAAAAGCTTGGCAATTTTGACCTTAGCCTTTTCAATTTCTCCATGTCAAGCCTGGGGGGGGGGGGGGGGGGGAAAGCATGGAACTTACCACTTCCTCATCCGAGTGGTCAAAACTGACATCAGATAGAATTGAGGTACCAGTTTCTTCTATTGTACACATTCCTCTGGGGAAGCACATCAGAATGGATGCAAAATGAGTATGTTTCATTTGTTTTCCCAGTCCCGCTTAAGCAGAACTTGAATGACAATTATAGAATGATAAAATGCAATAAATAATGTTACCAACCACCCCCATCCCCACCCCCCACTCAGGGCAGGAATCTTCCACTACAGCATTCCTGGCAAATGGCTCTGCTGCTTTCTTTCTAGGATTCTGGGTCAGACTAACAGGAATACAGATGCATTTATCCTTTTTAAAGAGAACAATATCAGTGGGCTGAAAATCTATGCTGAAATCAGACCTTCCTCGTGATACATAGAAGCAACCCTGTAAAAAGTGTGGCCCCTGGCATGACCAGTAAGAATACTGAAAAGAACCAAGATAATAAAACGCTGGAGCTTTTTAAAGAAAATGCAGGAATAATCCTATCAAGTTTTGCTCAGTTATGTGCATGTGCCCAGGCAAACATTTCTAACAAGTAGTAGGCAGAACTACCTGTACATTTATACTTGCTTCTCCTCTATCATGGAAAAATCAGGAAAATATTTTAAAAACATATTAAGCTAAAACATGACAATCGATTATAAATTCATCAAATGCTGCATAAGGTCCATGTGTTGATCTATTCCCTCTTGATCTCTGAATTTTCCTCCTTTGTCACGGGTACTTATTTCACAGAGTTGTGCCAGAGATTATGGAGATAATCCATTATGCGGATTAATTTTAATACTCAGAAAAAAAATTATAACATACTTGGAATGCAATTCAGTGTAGTTGTGCAGTGTTCCAGACAGCACTGAATTACTTTGTTTCCTCTCTATAGGGTTGGAGATGGAACACCAATCTCAGAGGGGAGGATCTAATGCCAGATGCTCTTCCCACCTCCATATAGCTCCCATGGCTGCTGCTTTTGAAGGAAATCTCTCAAGGAAACGTGCGGCATGATGGGCAGAAGGGAATGAAATTCTTCAACTGTCCATCATGTCTCTGATCTAGTGGAAAACTCCAATCATCCATTGGGCAGATTGCAATAATTTTCTTTATGTTGCTTGCAACTGGAGATATCCCAGAAGAAGATGGACAAATAAACATGGCTTTATTTCCCCATCCAGGGTACCAGGTATGGCAGAGTCATCCCAAACTAGAACTCTTCAAATTTAGTTCAACTGTTTAAATGTGCAATATTTCTTATGGAGACAATCTATACACCCTTTCCAGAGGCAGATTTTGGATTGCTACGAGAAGGCCCGTGGACCATAATTCTTGTGTATGATTGCATGCACAAGAATGCCACATCAAAGCCTTTTAACTGAAGCTTGGTCTTCCAACACTCACTGTTTTCTAGGCAGTAGGCTACTGCGGCTGAAATGCAGCCTCTCAACAACGGCCAGGTCTGTATGTTGATCTTCAGTGACAGGACTGATTTGTGGATCTGCCATGAGGTAGTCATAGATAAGCTGCAATTTGCACTCCTGGAAGAGAAGAGAACAAAGAAACCCTCTTAATGAAAAGAATGAAATGATGTTCAAGAGAGCCTCTGGCACTGGAACAAGGTTTGAACCTGGAAGTTCTCTCAGGACTTGCACTGATATAAGATTAATTAACTATTCCTACATCACATGAACTCTCAGGATTACATTAACTTTAGTCAACAATTTATTCAGAGCAATCTGAATAACTTAGATTAAACTGGGATTGAAACTTAATTAGAATTAAGCATGGCTGGCTCAGGAATTCTGGAAGTTGAAGTCCACACGTGATAAAAGGGCCATTGTTCCCCATCCTGTCCTGGACAAAAACATTTTTGAGAAGTATAAAAATGCAACAGATGCACTGAATGAGGTATAGTAGAAATGTTAACACTAGCACTATTATAAAATGGTTAGCCTCATGCTCTTAAATATGGTTCTACTGCAGGGGTGGTATTCAGCAGGTTCTGAACCAGTTCTGGAGAACCGGTAGCAGAAATTTTGAGTAGTTTGGAGAACTGGCAAATACCCCCCTCTCACTGGAGATTTTACAGTATCCTTTCCCTGCCATGCCCACCAAGCCACGCCCACAGAACCGTTAGTAAAAAAATTTGAATCCCAACATTGATCTACTGCCATGTTTTCTGGTGCTATTAAAAATTCAAGTCCAATTATAGCTGAAAGGCTAGAGGTGGTCCATTCTTATTTTCAGATTAGGGGGGTTATTTTTCCTAAAATCTATTACTTGACAGAAGGGATACTATTCATTTTCCTACCCCTTCCACTCGTGGTAGTCTTCTCATTCTGGGAAGGCTGTTTTTGACAAGGGAATAAAATTCACATGCCTGCTTTTCCAGCTCAGCTTCTGCCCAACGTCTTTTCTTCATTTCCACCTCTGCTTGGTTCCGGGCATGTTTCAACTTCACCTCCAGCACAGAACATTCGTATTCTGATTGGAGCAACTGCCGCCTTGCCTTCTGCAAATCCTGATCCAACTGGCAGCATCGCTGGCGCATCTCCTCAAGACACTCGGCAATCTGAAGATATTCTGAACACATGCATGGGGGGTCAGTATCGGGCTCAGAATTACCAATGTGCAAATAAACTTTGAAAACACATATGTATCTTGCATGCACCCAAGAATAAAGTGAGTTAAGATGGAAAGTATCAAAATGAACAAAGAGAATGGGTTCTCCTATGTGTTAGGAAAGGGGTATAGGAGGAGTAATTTTCTCCTTATCCTTACATAATCAAAGAATTTCTAGATTTTGGCCAACCTGCTACCGGGAAGCACTGATGCTATACCAAAAATAACAAAGAATGCTTGAATGAACAGTTTCTTTCCACTTTCTGTCAAGCACCACTAAAAGGATTCTAAAGATAGCATGATCAGGGGTGGGATCTGACAGGGTTAACTACTGGTTCGGTGATTTACGATGGGCTTCCCTGCACGCTGCACACAGGTGCCTGTAAATCATCATCAGCACGCTGCCTGCAGAGGAGCAGTCTTTCAAAAAGCACTTTTTCCCTACTTTTTAAACTGCAGCTGTGCTTTGCACAGCAGCTGAGGTTGAAAAAGCAGGAAATAAAGGTCAGGTAAGAGTCCAGGTGGGAGGGTGGGCCAAATAGCAACAAACACAGAACCGGTTCTATGTCTGCTGCTCTTCAGAGCTACCGGTTCTACAGAGCCGGACAGAACCGGTAGAATCCCACCCCTGAGTATGATCAAATTTCCATTAGAACAGCATCCTCTTAGCCCACTGATTAATGGGCCAACTGAATTGCCCCATTTCTGACAGCTGCCATGGTAAGAAGTACTGTATTTAATAAGGGACAGTTCAAGAGAGTATATTCTGTGTCTTTGTACCAATGCTTAATTGTTCTATATAATCCATCCCAAGTTGTGAAAGATCCAAATTAAGACTGGTCCACTTCAATACAGCTATTTTCCTGAAATCCCCATACTTCTTTTTTATGTACCTTAAAATATTTCTTCTTATGCTATGCTATTCTTGAATTTTCAATTTAAAGCACCTGCAAACCATTACTTTTTATCACACTGCCTGACTTTGGTGAGAGTTGTAATCTCTGGAGGGCTTCAGATCACTTACTCATCTTCTAGAACATGACCTTACATGATGGAAGTTGAATTAAACAGAAGAGAGTGGTCATGATCTTTTCTGACACTCTCACTTTATATCTATATTATTTTGCTTGTGAGCCAGATCTTGTTTTAAAGATTGAAAACAGCAGAACCACTAAATAAGATCAACACAAATATGAAAAGTAGCAAAACTTGGCAACCAAGCAGATGGGATAAATCCAATGGTAAGGGAATGGCCATCAGACAGAAATGGAAAGCACCTGAATACTAATGTGGAAGATCAGTGGGAAAACTGTGCTTGCTCTTCAGTTCTGCTTGTGAGATTCCCTTGAGAATCATCTTGGCTCATCTATATACTATTACATTTCTAGTTTCTATAACCTCTAATTGGGCAAAACAGGGCCTCAGAGAACAACAATTTTTGAATCAAGGTACCTTACATTAGCTAACTTACAGAATGTGTGCAAAATCCAGGAGCCATGACTCCTGAAATTTGGGGACGTCGTGGCTGCTCGAGTACTGCTCCTGAAGAAGGACCCACTGCATACCCTTCCTGGACTACATCCCTCCCATGCATTCCATGACCCATGCAGCATTTCTTGCATACTGCTGCAACCTGAAGAATGTAGCAATAGCAATAGCACTTAGGCTTATATACCGCTTCACATTGCTTTACAGCCCATTCTAAGCAGTTTACAGAATCAGCATAATATTGCCCCCAGCAATCTGGGTCCTCATTTTACCAACCTCTGAAGGATGGAAGGCTAAGTCAACCTTGAGCTGTTCAGAATTGAACTCCTGGAGTAAGCAGTGAGTTAGCCTGAAGTGTTGTACTCTAAGCATTGCACCACCGCGGCTCTAAACTAGGGGTGTCAAACTCACATTGTCATGGCAGTGTCATGCAACATATTGGGACTCCCCCCACTTCACTAAACCGGAAATGGCTGTGGCCAGCACGTAACGCATCCAGCCTGTGGACTGTGAGCGTGACAGCCTGCTCTAAACCTAAAGGAAGCTTGAGAAGCAATAGCAGAGGCTCTGCAGGCAGCATTTAAAGCACTGCCTTCAGAGCATCTTTAAAGCTTGCCATTCAGTTAAACTTGTTAGTATGTGAAGGAAAAAAACCCCCTCTAAAACAGGAGTGGCAAACTGGCAGCCTGCAGGCCAGATGCATCACATACAGTCCTGCAAAGGGGAAAAACATCGTTAAATATCACATGACAGCAACGTGACATGACGAGTTTGACACCCGTGCTCTAAAACAACTGAGGAATAATCTTCTTAATTATATTTACAAGTTTAACTGAAATAAAAGTTAGGGTTTTCCTTGACTCTCACCTGCTTATTCAGGGGTGGGATTCTACCAGTTCACACCTATTCTCTAGAACCGGTTGTTAACATTCTAAGCAGTTCAGAGAACTGGTTGTTAGAAGAAATTACTGGCCTAATCCTGTAAGGAAGGCAGGAAGGAAACATTCTGGTGTTGCTTACAGAAACTGCCTCTCCATTAACCATTATTACATTCTTGGCAGGACTAGACTTCCTGTCTCAGGAACTTCTCTGGAGTTTTTCCCCACTCCTTTGCTGGTACTTTGCTTGTGTGGAGTAACCATTGAAAGTTACAATGGCACTGAAAAAAGTGACTTATGACCATTTTTCACATTTACGACTATTGCAGCATCCCCACAGTCATGAGAGGCCAGGCGAGGAGATGCGTGATTCGATGTGAGTGATATTGAATTGGCCACACCCAGCCAATAACATGACCACCAAACCATGCCCACCACCTAAGCCATACCCACAGAACCGGTTAAAATTTTTAAATCCCACCCTTGTGCTTATTCAGCCGAGACCCTGCCATTGCAAAGTTATACCTTCCTATGGTACATCCTCAACAAAGCTAGTCTGAAGCTTGTTTCTGTTTGAAAGATAGCCTCAGTACTTCGGTTTTTAATTCAGGTTCCAAATGCCTATGGAGATTCTCAGCCATACAGGTCATGGTTGTCCAAAAGGTGCTTTTGCAAGAGGCAACTGGACATTCTTGTTTTTTTAATGAAAAATAGAAAGAAAAGAAAAACAAGAACATTTTTTTCCATTTGCCTCTTGAAAAAGCACTTTTGGGAGATTCAGGTTCAAAAGTTAACAGTGCTATAGAAATAGCATACACACACATTCCAATAAAAAGCAGGCAGATTAGATCAAAGGAAGGGAATGTAATCAGGCTAATGCAATTCTGCAGGTACATGTTGTAACAAGAATCCAAGGAATGAAAAATATTATTTATATCAATATAGGTACCATCCTTTCTAGGCCAAAGGGCAAATTGCAGGAGCCCATACAAAGAAGGGGAACAACTAAGTAGCTCTTGCCATCTTCACCGGGCCTCTGAATTATCTTTATAGTCAATTATTATTATTATTATTATTATTATTATTATTATTATTATTATTATTATTATTACTACTACTACTACTACTACTACTACTACTACTACTACTACTACTA